GTTGAGCAGCCATTTAGTAAGTGGACGTTGGCAATCCTGGAACTTTAAAGTAGAAGCGGTCCAGTGTTACGGCAGAGCAAGGGAATAAGCGTACGTTAATAAACTTACGAAACTGTTATTGATTTGATATCGGTCTGAAATTAACATAGTTTAAAGCGAACAGTAACCCAGATTTGTCTGTCCGCTAGAAATGGTACTTTAGATTGATATTCCTCTTCGCAAGCATGTCTGCATCAAAGAGGTTTTCACACGTTTTGTATTATCCTCCGACGCGCCTGCTGCCAGTGTACAGTTTCTAAGAGAAAAGTATTGAACATATTTTCATTTTTTCTGGTGCCCGTTTCATTAAATCAGTCCTTTAGATGCCGTACTCTGAGCACTCCTGCAAATACTTATATTAGACATTTTAGTTAACATACTGAATAAAAGTGTACTATGAAAACGGTACTTCATCTTCATATGACGACAAATTTCTAAGTTGCTGATGCAATGGACCCTCATCGCAGCACTGCGCTCGCCGAAGCACTTAAGTCACATGAAGAACAGTATGTTTCATGTACATTGCAAAACACTTTTTTCAAGAACAAAAAAAACCAATTTTCAAGTAGAAATAGTCCTTTCCTCAGATGTTAAAAGACTATTAAACTGATGTATACAAAGTATATTCTTCATTTATTCAAACAGCTGGTCATTTTACTTAGGCATATAATCAACGTACGTTACCAGAAACAAAACAGAACAACGTAAATTCCTCCTGCATTCAACAAAAGGGGAAATGCGACTAATACTAATTAACAATAATAGTAATTGCTCAAGCGCGGTTCGACGAAAAAAAATACACAGAGAATATTGCTCGGTAGAAACATGCTTAAAAATAAATTCCTGAGCAAAAATCTGATATGACGAATTTTTGACGGTCAGACGTTGCCGTTAGCCAAAAACTTGAGCACAAACTGAATGGCTTGCTGCATTCTGTGCTGATGCTGTGCCCGCTGAAAAAACGTGTCGCGGACCGACTCGTTGAACCGAAGAAGTATGGGCGCAAATATGGCCGCTGAAAACGCACATAAAAGGGCAAAATTTAATCGAAAAGAAAGTAATGCGTAAGGACGTGATATCATACCGATAAAATTCGCGTTTGTGCCGTTGGTTTTGGAAAATTCCAGAACTTCTTTCAGGAAGCTGATGATGTACAGAAACACATCATGATGTATTTTTGGAAACTGAGTGATCACCTAAGATTTAAAAAGTCTGTTAGTGCCAGAAGAACGTTCAGGATAGCGCTGGTAATCGAAACATCTGTTTGCTACTGAAATATCTCGACTAATTTTCTGCCCTAGGACATAAAGGCAGAGAATGTTATTCGACTTACTTCACAATGTCGTGAACTCAAAAAATACACAGAAAACTGTTCAGGTCTCAAGTTAAGTAGATTTTGACTACGCCGACCTATCACTGGTCTTGTGAATGCTCTGCTAAGAACTAATTTTAAATTGGGTCACGTGAAGCCAATGTATGAGTGGCTGGTTTGGACTTTTAGCTGAAAAACGGACATTCAAATCTTTAATTTTCCCCGCGATAAACGCCTTTTACACATCAAACCCGTTTCTGTGTTCCAGACCTCGGGAGTATACAGTGCTATCTCATGAGTCATAACAAACGGCTATTTCAATACGTCGTGGCTCCATGATAATTGAACATGCCATGCAGCGCGCTAGACGAATATTGTATGCATCATTTTATTTGCTCAACAATATTATGACAGTCACTAGGTTCCTTTCAAGAGTCAATACATTTTTTAAGTTTTCCCATTGGATATAAGGGAGTGATATGCAATGAAGGTGACTCAGAGAGTTAAGCGTTAGGCATTTATTTTAATTTTAAACTGAGCATATATTTACAAATTATTCCCCTCATTTAAATGCGAATGAAATTTATTGTTTACATATTTTGTTGCCGTAAAAATAAAACGCTTTGCGCGTATGAAAAAGCAGGAGATTAATGCAATATCGTAAGCTAAATGAGTGATAGGTACTACAAATGGAGCTAATGAAAGTATGAAGGAGACTGATATGCGAACGGTTATAAGAATTCCAATTCTTTTGCTGCGGTTCTTCGACTGCACTGAACCGAATCAGACACTGGACCTTGTTTTGCTGGTAGTTTTTCATGAACGGTGACAGCCTGTACTTGGACGTACTGTTATATTTTCAGAACACTTTGCAGACAACTTTCCTAGACGTAAAAACGAGCATAATGATGTTCACAACGGTAAAGGTGTTCTAGATTGTATTCAAATCTAATGAATATGGTCGCTTTTGAGCAGGTAAAAGTGATATCTAATTAACAAAACCGAATTATGCTTTAGCACTTCATTATAAATCACATCTTTGCTATAATTACATTTAACGCATGCATTATAATGAGTAATGATATAATTATATTCTGCGTAATTTGAATCATCGAAGCGACTACAACTGTCTGCTATCCCGTTTTATGGCGTCTATGTCAACAGTTATACATGAGACGGAGAGATTTTCTAACAGTCAAAGGATTTCCGTGGAACAGCAAAAACGCTCTCTGAAAGGAAAGCAGTCCCTTCACTGTAGAAACAATTCCACATTTTGTTTGGCAGCTATTTTATAACTTCCTACGATATTTATTAAGTTACAGTAGTATAATGAGACAAAAGAATCTTGAAAAAAAGAAAAGTTGCAATCTAAAGTTAAAAATTTTAATAGGCATGGACACAAAAACACTTATTTTTCAACGCGAAGACTACACAGCAAACAGAGTTCTAGGCCACGTCGCATAATGAATTGTTATTTCCTATTCCAACCGCTTTATTTACACCTTTACAGAGGCCTAGAGGG